ATAAGGGTATATTAAACTTTTTAACTCCTCTATTATATATGACCTTTAGTGCATCTGATAAGGGAGGTTTCAGTCCATTTTGAAAAGAGAGGAAAGGTTTCAGTATTTACATAAAAATGCAAATGAGGTCTTAGACTGCATTTGACATTCCTTATTTTAAGGACTTATCTCCTTTCTGTAGTTAAAAACTCTATTAATATGGACATTTTAAGTGTAACAAGGAAATAAGTCTTTAAAATAAGAAATGCCAAATGTAGCCTTAATCTTCTACTCTCCAATCTATAACTTTTGTTAATTTATTTTATTACATTGATGTAATTTTTTCTTACATTTATATTTTATAGTTGAGTGACTTGAACAGTCAAACCAGACCATTCATGATTCAGCCCACGACCTAGTGTGGCCAAAAATGGTAGGGGTGAAAGAACTCCCATGTGCATAGGGCAGGTAGGGGTGAACATTTCCAGCCCATCCTACAAATTCAATATTTATATTATTATATTCATATTATATAATATTTTCAAGTCCGGATCTAAGCCCGGCCCCAGCCCGGTCCATAACCATCCTTAAGGGAGGGTTGAAGTCTGGATATAGTAGGCACAGCATTGTAAGCATGGTCATTGAGAACTCAATAAGTATTCTGACAACTGTGCCAAAAGTTATTTTTAATATTTTTTGAGGGTAGACTGGTGATATTTTAAGGCAGAGGTGTCAAAAAATTTTCTAAGTGCTTACTCTGTGCTCATCATCCTATGTGCTTACTTGATCCCTGGACTTATTTGAATCTTGTGCTTCAACCATGGTTTTAAAAACGGGCCAGACTGGACGGTCAGATTGGAAAAACTAGGAACTGGTCAGGTGACCAGTTCCATTTTTCCCCAAAACCAGATTTTTGTCAAAAACCGTTGAATTTGGTCAGCAAACCGCTGACCCAGGCAATTAACCATTTGAACCGTTCGAATAGCTTTGACTATTTTTTATTTTTTTGTCAAAACGGGCCAACCATTCAGTTTAAATGATTGGACCGTTCGATCCGGGAACCGGACCCCTGACTGGTTCATTCTCTGAATCGGTTTTAAAAACCTTGGCTTCAACATTAACAATATAAATAGTTCCAAAATCCCTTCAATAGAATAGCACCTTTGTATTACCTAAGTTATGGATTTTATATTATCTACAAAAAAATTATGATTTTATTATATTTTTAATTAATGGAGGGAGTATATAGTGCTGATAATTGATAAGAGGAAAGCTCTTGTAGTTATATTTTTAATTAATTGACAAGGTAACTCGCTTCCAAACACAACGGTGTTGAACAGTTGTGAAAACTCTCCTCCATTCTGCAAAGAGAACTTTCAGTTGTGCAAATGGTGAAGAATATAGAAGTACAATTGAATTTGCACGTTTTGTCTAGGTTTCCTCGATTTAATTTAATAGTTAAGACTAGCTGATTTGTTTTGAATCTATGACAGCCCTGCTCTCCATCTCATAGATTTGTTTTGAATCTAGTTAATTTTTCTTCAGGCTTTACTTCATTGCACTGTAAACAAACTAAACGTAGAGTTGGTTTAGTTTTGTATTGATAATTTTATACTCTTGCCAAACGATTTTTAATTGTGATAACTACAAACACGAATCCCAATATTAGAATCCACCTTTTTTACATTGACCAACTTTGAGTGCAAAAGCTTCATGATGCAAACTTTACTCTCATTTTAATTGCAAAAATGCTTTGAAATTTATGTTTATTGTCATTTTCAAGACAAATAAATTTTTATCAAACACAAGCAAAATTGAACCAAAGTTCATATATTCACTGGCCCAACATTTGCACTATTCCCAAACAAAGTCTTAAGGGTAAAAAACTAAAAATGGTAACACTTGGCCCAAATTTTAGTCTAGTGGATAGATGGCATTAGGGATGAAAAATGGATCATATGAAATTAAAAATGGCCAGAATATTATATGTTATTTAGAGAAATAAAACAGATACGTATATCATGAATTATGAAATTAAAAATGGATCATATGAATTATGAGACCTAAACCTTCTTTATTAAAAATAAAACAGATACGTATTAATTCTATATGAATACAGGCATAAATGTAAATGTTTAAATATCATCAGATCAGATGGAATCATATGGGTCAGATCATAAACGAATAGAGCCAACTGAAGGTGGCTCAGTTGGTATGTTAACTGGTTATAAAAACTGGACATTGAACCATTTTGGCCATCGGTTTGCAGGTCAAATGGTCTGACTGTTCAGTTCGAATAGATGACCTGTTTTGATATTAAAAAATATAAAAAAAGTAATTAAAATAAAAAATGACCAAAACCATTGTTTGGGTCGATGGTTCAACTACCTGAGTCAAGGATCACTGACCAAGTCAACAGTTTTTGGCCTATGAACGATTTTAGGGTGAAACGGAACCGATTGCTTGGATGGTTCTTGGGCCAACTGGTCCCACCGTCCAATCCGGTCCAACTAGGGATGCAAACGGATCATATCATATTCAAATCAAAGTATATCCAAATCCAATCCAACATTGTTAATTGCAGATCCGATAGACATGGATCCGAATTCAAATCCAATCAAGAAGTCAGATATTCTGATATGATCTGATCCAATTTGTTTTCTTTAAAAATTCATAAATTATTAAAAGAACAATAGAATATACCAATTTAAATAAAGAAAAACAAAAAATACAAGTATTTTTTTTAATTATTTTCATCATATTGTTTTTTAAAAAATAAATAATATAACAAATTTATAAAAATGCAATATAAATAAATAAATAACACACACACACACACACATATATATATATATGTATATATATATATATATGTGTGTGTGTGTGTGTAACATATATATCAGATTGGATCTTCTCGGATCAAATAGGGGACGATCCGAATCTGATACGAAGATCCGAGCTGGACTGATTGGAATTCGACCAAATAAGATTGGATTGGATCGGATCATTTGCAAATTTTCAAAACCATGTCCACAAGGTGCGTATCACCAAATACCAAAAAAAGAAAAAAAAATTATAAACCCTGCATCCTAGTTGAACTCTCCCAAGTTGCTAGTGATGGTTGTCTGTAGGGCACATAGCTTAACACTGCATCCTAGCCTCCAAGGATGTAGTCTATCCAGATTCCTTTGAATACTTCTCGTCATTAACTAATTGCTCAATCTTAACTTTTATGTTATCTGTGAGCATGTGCACCTCAAGCTTTTTTGTTGAATAATCTTTCATTACGCTTATTCCAAATGCTCCACATAATTGCTGCTCTGGTGTTCCAAAAAAAGAAAAACACAAACACACACAAGCTTGCCTCTTCTTGCTTGTGAAGGATTCAAGGATTTTTTTTAACAAGTAACAGAAATTGTAAGGAGAGTTTTGCAGGGCAAAGAGATCTAGTATTCCTCGTGGAGCAGTTCAATCCAAATCTTTATCATGAAGGGGCAAGATTAGAAGAAGTGATAGATCATAGATGTTCTCCCCATATTTGAAACAGAAGAAACGAACGTGAGGGGACGGAAACCAGTTTGGTCTCCTTGAAGCATCTCACGCATATAAATGAGCTTGAGAGAGACTTCCCAGCAAAAAGCCTTTAATTTAGAAGGTGAAAGGATCTTCCCAAACGGATTTTAAGAGGATAGGATGGGATTTTGAGAGAGGTTCATGGGCTATGATAAAAGGTTTGAAGGTTCCACTGGAGTCAAGGGTCCACACTTGTTGGTCAGTTGGTCTTCATCTTGTGTTAGAAAATCTTCTTTGAGGAGGTTGAGCACATTTGTGATGGCATATGGTTGGTTGATGGTGTATAAGACAGAAGGCATAAGATAAAAGAAGACAGGAATTCTTTCAAAGTGTTCTTCCAATCAATGGTGCGCCAATATAGAGTTACCACAAACAAGGGACAAATTAAAAAAAAAAAAAAAAATAAGGCCACACTCTTTCTTTGAGAAACAAAGGCTGTAACTCCCTATCAGCCAGGGTTCCATTCCTATCTTTGCAAGACAAAGACTGTAAATAGATGTTCTATCATTGTTTTATTGCATGCTTGTTCTCTACATTAACTTATCTATGAGTTGCCTCATTGCATTCATAGCACTGGCTTACTTTAGTTGGAAGAAAATATTTACTTAGAAGTCATTTCCATGTCAAACACAGAATGTATATGATAATTTGAGGCAAAGGTATCACAAGGCTATAAGCACCAAAGCCCTGAGTGGAAAGAAAGGCACTATTACCTTGCTTCCTCAGGCATTTAACCAAGTGAGACAGTGAAAAATGTGATGCCACCAAGATAGAACCAGAGAGGGGAGAGGGGAGAGGTTCACAGGTCAAAGGTTCATCCAGAATCGAACCATGATGACGTGGTATATACATATATACTACAGGTCGTATGTGTATATATATATGGTGAATGGATGACAAGTTTCTTAATTTTTAAAACAAATGACTAGGGTTCAAGTTTCTTAATTTACATTTCCTTTAAAATACGTACATAATAAAGTAGTATGTATAACAAAATGTCATTAATCAATATAAACAAAGAGGTGGACTAGTTGTAATTAAACAACATATAAAAACAAGAGGTCATGGGTTCAAGACTTGTTAAATACGTTTTAAATTTTCAACTATTTAAGGACCCAGGCGGTACATGAAACTGGGACCAATACTGGCTTTCTTGTTAAACCGGATGTTCAACCAGTTTTCACTGGGTTTTTAACAAATACAGTTATTGGGGTGTGACCAAACCGGCCAGAGTCCTGGGTCATGGTTCAACCAGTTCAACCAGCCGGTCTGGTCTGGTTTCCTAAACACCGCTTAATACCAGTGTTCCTTGATACTGGTGTTGTTTAAAATTAAGTTTCTACAGAATAACTCTATGAGTAGCCTCCACTTTGGAGATGAAATGTGTTTTACTTTTAACTGACATAGTAGAATCTAGGGAAATTGCACAGCAAAAACAAAATCCGGCTGACTGATGCTCTTTAACCATTTTTCCATTCAATTCAATGGGGAAGTAAATCAAAAGACATGAATGGAAAAGCAGCAAGAGCAATTGGATTAAATGAAACAGGAAAAAGAAAAGGACATTATAGTTCTACCAAACAAAAAAGAAACTAGTTCTCCATACAAGTACATCGATGCAATGCTACAAGAACACTTCTCCAATCAATTTACTCCACTTTCTAGTTTGATCCAGATGCTTGTCCACTTGTTAAATCTGTGATTCAACCAATGAGAAGTTGAAAACTAACAGATCTCCAAATTTGTCAAAATGCCTAAAAATCTCTATAGACCAAGAAGAAGATAAACAGAAAGGCAACCCTGCACAATAATACACCTCACTTCAAGAAATTATCAACGTAAACACCACAATAATCATATTAGTAATGATAATACTATTATTAGTAACGACTAAATAGTAAAAAAATTAGATCTTATTTAGATAGGATGCTTCCGTTGGGTCTTGCCAAAGAGAACTGTCCAACTGCATTGCCAATAAAGCAAAGATGTTGGTCCTCTTTCTCTATAGGCATCTCCATTGGCATACTTATATGCCTATCCACAATTAATTGTCAACAATACCCACCAACATGATTCAACAAATTGAAAGTCACTGAATTTCAATGTGGTTTTAATATTTTACAAAAATTAGCAAAATTTCTTGGGATCTGAAGCCTGATAATGAAAATGAGATGACAAGAATAACTAACAAACTCATTTTCTAGCATCCATTCTATTTTTCAGATTGCCAGACTTTCACTCCATACTATCACTTCATGCTACACCAAAAGCAGTTCAAAACTTGAAAGCAAAGTAAAACAGCAATAGAATGCTTTGATAATGGAAGCAAACGTGCATTAAACAATTTAAAGAAGCTTGGATGGTTCTTGGTTCATAATTGAGCCTTGTCAATAGTAGACAGTGCAATCAAGTAAAAGAGCTTACGTGAATGGACAGTACACCTTCAGGCAATGGGTAATCAAAATGTGTAAGATTCATGCATATCCACATCTTCATCAATAAGTAAGGTAACAGCAACCACCACAAGCCTGCAAAAGATCAAATCATTTTCAGCATTCTGAGGGGGGTGGAAGAGAGAGAGAGAGAGAGAGAGAGAGAGAGAGAGAGAGAGAAGACTAATTGTTATTCATAGTATTCCTTTGAGCGCATGAAAAAATGAAAGGATGAAATACTAGACTAGACCAAAGATGCAGCAACCTAAACCAATCATTTGAGTAGATATCATAGCTAAAGTTACATGACCCTCAATATCAAGGAAAATTTGGAGAGAGGATATTGAGAAGTAACCATTGTGGTTGTTCCATTAAGCCCTACATATGCTACAAATTCTTTAATCTTTCATCTTTACCTTTTTTTTCCTTTTGGTTTTCTTTGCTTCCTTGTCGGTTTCTTTTGGACAGGCCTACTCTTTTCATAAATGAAATTGTACTTCAAAGGATTCATGCAGTCTTTAGTATATCAAAGATTCAGGTCTTCTCCCAAATTAAGCACTTCATTCCATTAAAATGAGTGCCTAAAAGGCCATTACCCAATGTTGGTCCAAGCTTTATAGGTTCTTGGGAGGGTTGGGCTGGATATGGACCCAAGGGACCATTGCTTGGAGTAATGATAAAGCCTCAGACTAATATTGTGGGTTGTCTAAGATCAGCTACTTATACAAGTGAAATGCCAAAAATATGTCCCATTACACATTTCTGCAAATTCTGATGCTGAGACTGCGCCTAAAATTGGCATACACAGGTCAAATTTGGTATCGGATTTAACCACTCCAAGGTAGCCCCTCAGGTCGGCATACATTGATCATTGGTTTTGTAATTATTTTTTCTTGATAATGTTTACCTTCATGGAGGCTAGCATAATTGAGGCCTCAAAGGGCAGGCTTCAAAAAACCCCTGCTTGCCCTTGCTGTGAGGGAGTTGTCCCCTCAGTTTGTTGGAACCAATGTTCAGAAAACCGGACCGGGCATAGAACCGGAGAAGGGAGAGGTTCATGGGTCAGAGCTTCAACCGGGGTTGAACCGGAGGTCGAACTGTGATGACATGGCATATATTTTACAACTTTTAATACACACTAATAAGTGTGCACATGGCAATTCTAGATGATGATTTCATAAACACCTCATCCAAATATGTAATAATCGGATTGAGTTGTGAAGTTTCAAGTATCATCGACAGGCCTACCTGCTTGGCTAGATTCTTCTTTTTGTAATGTTTTATCTTTTTGGTGTATTTTTTTTGTTCATTTATTAAAGAAATGTAAGATTTAAATAGAGGGAATTGAATGAGGTGAAAAGTAGTAGTTCAATTTACAATTTAAACCTTACAATTAATTAGAGACTAAATTCGAAAATGAGTATTTTAGTCAAAAGAAAGTTCCACATTCTTATTTATATTTCTAATAGTAGTGTAAATATAGTATTGATCATTAAGAGAGATCCTTACACACATGAACTCAAGCCAACAAACAGAGAAAAACAGGTCATCCATGACCTACAGGTACAGGATCACACGATCCAAAACAAAAAGAGGTATAAACCTCACAAGGGTCTGCCGACATTCAGTGGTTCAGGTTCATTCGTTTTCCACTTGGTACATGACCAAGGAAAGAAATAAAAGAAAAAAATTAGGGCTGTACTAGTTGCAGATCTGATTCGATCAACTCAGATTCAATCCTCTGTTACGCCCAGATTCAGCAACTTGAAGAAGAAACTTGATCGCCTAGATTCAATAGCCTTACTCTGATACCATCTCAAAGAATCATTCAACCTAAAAGCTTAAGCTATTAGGTGAGGTCCTTGAATAGGTTGATATTCTCTAACAGTCACAATTCAACCAGTCCAACCGGCCGATTCAGTCCAGTTTTCTAAACATTGGTTTGAACAAATAACCCCCAACCACCCTTCTGTGAGGCCAACCCAATGCACTAATTCTTCTTAGGGTTAAGTTTAAAATATAAAACCCCCCCAAACTCATTCTTAAGCGCAATTGTTAAATCTTCAAAGGTTCACAAAAGATGTATACAATTGCCAAAAAAGTAATAGAATAAAATATATTATAAAGAATAAAAGCATTATCTAGATTCAATATATGGGGGCTCCCATACAATGTTTTAAAACATGGAGGCGTGACACAAGGGATTCCACTACCTAGAGGCATAAGGCATAGTTCCGAACATAAGAAGCATAAGCCTGCCGAACACCAGGAAGCGTAAGCCTCCTTGAGAGAGGGGGATGAAGAGGAGGAAGGGGGATCTCATTTTTCTTTATTTTTAATTAAAATATTTTATATTAAGAAGAATGAAGATGCATAGCACTTTTTAGTGAAACTTTCCATCTGATACTAGCTTGTTGTTTAGTCCGTCTATTTTTGAATGGCACACAAAGAGAGGGAGAATTATGTGGAAGTGCACAAGAGCAGCTTAGTTGTGGACAGTTTGGGAAGAAAGGAACACCAGAATATTTTGTGAAAAAGAAAGGAGCTTCTCGGAAGTTAAAGAATGTATTCTGACAAGGGCAATTCAATGGCTGAAAACTCTAAAGCTCTTTGATGCATACTCTTTTGATGACCTATGGAGAATCTTGTTAGCAATGGCTAATGCTTTCTACCAGGAAGGGCAAACATGGGGTTGAATGGATGCCACCAGGGGAGGAGTTTATCAAAATGAACTTTGATGGGAGTAGCTAAGGAAATCCAGGACCTTCGGGCATAAGAGGAGCTCCGAGAAACAAAGATAGTAACATTATATCTTTGTACTCAGGTCCTGCGGGTGTGGGAGACTCATTAAGGGCCGAATTACTTGCTGCTGTACAAGGAATCCAGCTTGCAAATCAGCTAGGCATAGAGCATCTAATCACTGAAGGGGATTCCCAGGTGATAGTGGGTTGGCTGAAGGATCCAGACACTGTGATTTGGGGTTTTAGAGATCTTCTCAAAAAGGTTAAATGGTTAACAAGGAATATGACAATTAGAGTTCAATGGGTAAGCAGATCAGCAAACTCAATGGCTTATTCACTTGCAAAACAAGGGGTTCTCCAAGATACTTTAATTTGGGCTTCTGTGTAATTTCTTTTGTACTTATAACTCTGTAACTAACTTTAAAGGAAATGTCGCATCTTGTGCCTTTCTTTGGGTTGCATGTAACTCTTATTTCCTGGTTTAATAAAATTTTACTCATTTATCAAAAAAAAGATGCATAGCACTTTCTTTTCTTTTTTTTTTATCAGCAACACAAAAATTGATTCATTAGATTAAAAAACAGAGACTGTCTTTGAGTTCCTTGCTTTGCTAGACCATCAGCCAAACTGTTTGTAGATCTCCTTATCCACCTTATTTGGATCATCAAGTCTTTAGAAATCTGCTTGAATCTCGATGTATAACACTTTCTTTCCCCTTATCTTTTCTTCCCTTCCCTTTCCTTTCCTTTCCTTTTTCTTTTTTTTTTTTTGTCTTTTTATATGAGGTGTGCATGAGGCGCATGAAGCATACGCCTCTAGCACGCCTCATGAAAAAAGTGTATGAGGCATATGCCTCTAGCACGCCTCATGAAAAAAGTGTATGAGGCATACGCCTCTTGCTCCTGAGGTGTATGCCTTAGAGGTGTCAATGCCTCTAGCATACGCCTCAGGGCATTATGCCTCCCATGCCTTTTAAAACACTGCTCCCATACTATCCTCCAATATGACTTTCTTCATCTCCTTGGTCAAGCTAGCATCATTCCAAAAGGAACTATTCATATTTCATAGTAGTAAAGGCAATAAGGTGCCTCATGGGAGGGTCACCTTGCTTAATCGCCAAGACATTTTTTACATAATGCTCTTGGATGCTTTATATTCATAACTTTTTGTTGGAAAGGGATGGCGAGGATTATTCCTTGTGGAATCCGAGTCAGAATCTTTCCTGTTTTTTTAGTTATTTATTTTCTTATTTAGGTTGTGATTATTTTCCTTTTTTAGGCTGTGATTTAGTTTCCTTTTGTTCTTTAGGCTAAATTAGTGGGTTAGTTTCCTAGAATAGCTCCTAGGTTGATTCTTAGAAGTTGTATATATTTGTACAGATCTTCTCAATGAAATTAGAACAGAAATCTTCAAACATTTGTTTCTGTTTTCATGGTATCAGAGCCTGCGACGATGTCTGGAATGAGCCATTCTTCATCAACAGTGGACTCGACAGCAGTAGATTCAA